TTAAAAAAAATTCTCAAAATTTCAAAGTAAACGCGTTTTCCATTTTTATGTTTTCGGAAACAGTTTTTCAGAATGGGAAAGAGAACGCATTTTCAGAAATTTCAAAACAGACACTCAAAACACAAAACACAAAACGAATTCAAAATTCAAAACACAAAACTGAAATACAAAGAGAACGGTCCCTAATTTTTTAAGGAATAAAATGTGTTTTCTAGATGACTTTTGTTTTTTTTGGTTAGTCTTGAAAATCTCTGTTTAAGCTTGGAATAATAGGTTTAAAATTAATGTAGGATTAATTATGCAAAATTATAAATATTATTACTATTTTATTATACTTGATAAGAACTATTCATTCAACCATCAGGTTAGCTGTTGAACCACGACTATAATGACCCATTCCTTTCGTACAGGTTAGTGCATAGGTTGAGTTTGAAAATCAATTGAAAAATGTTAATTAGCAGCATATTTCAAAAGTAGTATTCAGTCTAGGGATGTCACAGTAGTATTCAGTCTAGGGATGTCAATGGAGGGTGAGGAGGCCATTACCATCCTCTCCTTCCGTTGGAAATTTTCGAGAAGCAAGCAAGGACAGAGCAAGGATTAAAAAAACCCTCAGTTACTGTCCCATTTAATTAATTTTTAATAATAAAAATATGATTTGATACCTTTTAATATTTTTATTTTATTAAGGAGACGGATTTGGAAAATTCAAGGCAAGGATGTTCGCCATTCGAGTTGGGACAATGCGGGACAGGTCGTGGATAGGAAATTTTGCCATCCCTAACTAGATCATACTCAACAACACAATCAAACAATCTTTAACCATATGTTTCCACAAATTGCTTAATAAAATTGCAAGAATAATTTGAACATGTTTGTTTTTACTTTTTACTTTTTAGAGAGAGAGATGATTTCATTATAGCACAAAAGTATACATAACATGTTTGTTTTTACTTTTTACACACGTTTACCCTTCTTCCTCCCAGCCATATAAATCGACATAAAATTATGTATACAACATACAATATAAACACACCCTTTACTGGCATATTTCACACAATATACAAAAACTGAATGACCCAAAAACTAACACTTCCGCGGCGCCGAACATTTGATATGAAATCTATGCTATCCAATGATTTAGTCGGAACTGTTCCTCGCCTGCGATATCCTATTAGCATATATGGTCACCAACTGTAGTTGTGTACCATTCAGCCCCTCCAAATATGGCAAAAAGGCATTCCCGAGCTTGATGTAGGTGTCGACTAGACAGAAAACAACAGTCTGCCAACCCGGGAAAATTCATATCAAATTCAAACTCAAAACAGGATTAGAATGTTAGCATAAAAAAAAACAGGTTAAGCGCGCAGGACTTCAGAAAGATTCCGAGACCCCAGTGCAAGGCTAATAACTTCTTTACATCACATAAGAGTTACAAAACTACTACCAAGAAGAGATATATTTCATTTTATGTGTAAATTGAGCAGATGAAAGTAAAGGGCCAAAATTATGCAGATTTAGGGTATTTGGATTGCAAAACATGGATTGAAATAAGTAGGATTGGAGTAGTTCCGACTAAATCATAAGTTATCCCAACATTATCTAAATAAAAGAGCTCCTGAATAGACCTAGATTCTGTAGTAGGAAGACTAAAATCCGATCAATGATTCACGACGGTGTACAAATTTTGTTTGTTTTCGTGCCCTATATTACGGCTATTCATTGTTAAACCAATTTAAATCACCCCTCATGAGTTCCATCGTCTCCAATATGGAAGTGATTATGATGAGAATGATCAGATGGATAATGATATTTTATAAACTAGAAGAAGTACTAGAAATGCTCAAGTTGAAATAAGGGACTTCGAGGAAAGAATGAGATGACACGGAAGATGAGTTAAATGAGAAAGAGCATATTGAATTGGAGTTCGATAAAGAGTTAGATAATATTTAAACTATGGTACTATCTTAATTATCTATTTGTAGAAATTGTTTTTATGTTCCAAAATTTTGAAAGTATATTTGAAATTTCTACAACTCTTAAGTAGAGTGGGAATTGTCTAGTTGAAAATTAGAAAAATTGCCTAATTTTTGAAAACTAAGAAATTATTTAGTTGTAGGAATTACTAAGTAATATGTTAGCATATCAAATTCAAACTCAAACAGGATTAGAATGTTAGCATAGAGGTTAAGCATGCAGGACCTCAGAAAGATTCGGAGGCCCCAGTGCAAGGCTGATAACTTCTTTACATCACATAAGAGTTAGAAAACTACTACCAAGAAGAGATATATTTCATTTTATGTATGAATTGAGCAGATGAAAGTAAGGGGCCAAAATTATCCATATTTAGGATATTTAAAAAATTTCAGATCTGCAGTTACAAAACGTGGATCAAAATAAATAGGATTGTAGTAGTTCCGACTAGATCAAGATCATAAGTTAGCCAAACACTATCTAAATAAAAGAGCTCCTGAATAGACCTAGATTCTATAGTAGAAAGACTAAAATCCGATCAACGATTCACAATGGTGTACAAATTTTGTTTGTTTTCACGCCCTATATTACGATTATTCATTGTTAAACCAATTTAAATCACCCCCCATTTGTTCCATCGTCTCAAATATGGAAGTGCTTATGAACAGTTAGTATCGAAGCTATATCTCGTGAAACAACTGTGTGGTTTTGTTCCTAAGTTGATTTCTAGTTGAAATTTCTTGTCGAAAGTGTTTACCTTGCGAACATCTGCACTTTGGTTCCCGAAAGCATCAAAAAGAGCCTGCAAAAATGAAGAGCCATCAGTTCCTCTTGGGAGTGCCTACTGACAATCTGTAAAAGAAAAGAAGTAGCATGAAAATCCATATTGTAAGTAGCATGAAAATCCATATCGTCATTAAAGTGAACAAAATAGAATTTGGTTCCCATAAAGGAATAAGTAAAAAATAAATAAATAAATAAATCTCGAAAAACTGTTTTTATCTCAGAAGGAATTTAATTGAGGATCAACCTTCGTCAGACATTTAATACATGCGAGAAGACTTCTCTCATCTTCAGTAGCAAGCAGAGGAACAATAACCTGAAATGTTAATTGAATGCAAAAATTAGTCCTTGATCAAGCATAAGCAGAGCACCAAATAAAATTAAGAGATTTTGACAATTAAACTGAACCTTAGTAATACTCACACTTAAACATCTAAATGCATCGTACCAAGTCAACATTATAGACAAGCAGTGCTGTACTTCATTTGAAACCTATATTAAAATGTCAACATAACTCACGGAAAAGAAATACCATTAAATGAAAACTCCAAAAGTTTCAGAAGGGAAAATTTACTTTTGAAACACTGTCCTTTGTCAAATGGAGCAGTTTTTCGATTACAATCTCAACAGAATCCTCCATAGCATCTTTCTGTTAAAAAGTACAGAAAACTAATAAAGATTGAACAAAGGGCTAATGGTGGGAAGAAATACAGGTATCAGTGATCGAAACCCACTAAACATAGACAATGGACCTGATTATTCAGCATTTCAACAATCAATGATCGAGCCAACTCAATGAATCAGAATCATCCAAAACTTCAAGAACAGTGGTCAAAATCTGATTGAAGAACTGCAATATTCCAAAAATTATTAATAAACTCAAGATGTTTTTTTTCTCATTGCAAACTATAACTGGATGCTAAATGATTGAACAGGAAAGCACTTTTATGGTGACATTACTAAAAAGTAACAATAGCAATCAACAGTTATTTAAATTTTCAAGCAATTATACCTTGCTCCAAATTGATTGATTGTTGGATACGGAAGCTGCAATTAACTGCTGAAGTGCACCACTCTTTTTTTCTGTAGAACTTTCTTCATTCCCATTGCAAATCTGCTCAAAGTAGGGAGGAAATGGGGGAAGGACAAGAAAATAAAATGGGCAAAATTTCTTCAGTTCTACTGATATGTAATGTTATTGTGAAAAAGATAAGAACAAAAAATTCCATGGCAAAATATTTCAAAGAGAAAGCATCATTTATAGCATGCAAATGGACTGCAGAAACTCACTAGATGAAGATCTGCAGAATGCTTGGCCCTGCTTCAAGAGCAGAGTTCATCTTCAACGCGGGAAGTTTAGTATGATTAGGTGTCAGTTCAGGTAAAAGCTCATTATCAACCCCAAAGTCTGCAAGGATGCGTAGATGATCAGAGCCAACTAGTCCATTGCTGTTCAAACGCAGTGTTGAAAAATCATCAGCCCTCGTACGATTATCCATAGTTTCTAGAGCTGTTGTATCAGAGGCATATTTCAGATTCTTAAAATCAGAAGTAGGTTTATCAGGGTTGGAACCATTCTCCTGTGTCTGATGCAAGTGTTCCTGAGCTTCATCAGATTTTAAATGACCAGTAGAGCTTATGAAGAGGTAGTTCAGTGGATGCAAATAGACCAATCGCGGAGCTGACAGTACATGCAAACTCTTCTCGAACTCTCCAGCTTTTGTGTGTCCAAGCATATGATCCTGCTCTTTCAACAATGATTGTTGGTGAAGTAACCTGTAATAAAATTAGTTATTAACAAAAATATTGCATTAATGCTAAATCTGTTCATGAATCAGAAGAAAAATAAATTTAAACATCCAATGCCAGGATAAAGACCATAACTTCTTCGTAATTTAAAAGCATATTAATTGTGAGAACGGTGCACATTGAAGAAAGATTGTAAGAATGACAAGAGCAATGAACTGTGTATAACAACATCAGAGTCAACCTCATTATCAACAGCAAAGGTTGAGATAAATTATAAACCTTTTTTCCTAGGTATTATTGCAAAAGCACATGGTACCAGTGACCTGTACAAAAGGAAATGTTCAACAATTTTTTAAATAAATGAATTGTGGATCCTAAAGTGGAAATCCTTTGCATGTGAATTGGCAAAATGGAGGGAGTTAAGAGGTGTAGATTGAGACCAGAGTCTAATATTAAACCCAAATTTTAATTCTGGGTGGTCATAGGCATACACAAGTTCTTTCCTGTCTATTCTTGCAATTTCGTCTGTACTTAATAGTTTGGAAGCCTTTGGTTGTAAAACTCTATACAGAGACCCTGTACATTGAGGCATAGAGTCAGTGATTCAGATGGCATTAGAATCCATGTGAAAAAAAAGGCAAATATGATGACAACCATCTCAGATTCTAATTTCAGCGACATGCTACCAAGCGCAACAGACTTTGTTCAAAATTCAATACGTAAAACAATTCAGCGTCTGGTTGGTGGGAGCAAACGAGGCAGAATATGAAAGAAATATGTACCCAAATTCGATATAAACTATTTATCTAAATTCAAATCCTATATCACCACTACCAAAAACTTGTGTGACTTCACCTCTATTGCTGCTAATTTCAAAACAAAAAACTTCTATGTTTTCCCTGAAACAACATCAAAGGAATTGCTTAGAACATTTAAGCCCATACAAAATCACTATCCTCGCTCAACTTACCATCGTGAAAAAGAAACTACTATTCTGACCTCCACAACTGCTAATTTCATGACAAGTTCTTTTACTATTTTGTTGAAACAAACTCAATAATTTCTTAGAACATTCCCATACAGAATAATTACATCACTCAACTTACAGTCATGAGCAAGAAACTGATACTCTGAACAGGATGAATGATCTCGTTTCCTTTACAATTGTCCAAAACATAATGTTTTCCTTCCTAAGTTAATTTTCTTTTCAAAAGCATTCATTCTTAAAGAACGTTATGGGACATAAAGATTATAGGCTACTAATTTTGAGGGGGAAAGGAGTTTATCAAAACATATTTTCAATTCTCAACTTGAAGCTTCTAAATGTACCCAATTAGATAAATTCCAACTACATAATTACACAGAGTAAAATCATTCAGATAATAAAAAAACTCAACGAATAAAATAAGCACAAAAAAGTGAGCGATTGTACACTACCTCCATGAGAGTGAGCAAAAGCCGCCTAGAAGCATCCCTAATGGGCTGTTTGGCATCTCCTAACCTCTCAACCACAGCAGGTACTAGAGCATTGAAGAGGAGCTTGAAGCAGGGCCGGCCCTGATAATTTAGAGGTCCTAGGCGACTAATTATTATGAGACCCTTCAACATAATCATTTTTTCATAAGTGTAGCAAAAGAAATTATTTTTGAAAAGAGAATGAATAAATTTTCACCTGATATATTCAAAACTTCGTTACTTGGTGAAAAAACAGCATTTCTATGTGACAAAAATTGTGGGCTCCTTTATGAGAGGGTACATGAGGGTTTCAATCCTAATGCACAAATAGCAAAATCCTAATTTTTTTTTGTGTTTCTGAACTCATTTTTAATTAAGTATTCTTTAACTAAATTTATTTTAAAACTAAAATTTTTCCATACTTTTTAATCTCACATTCCATAAAAAAATTACTTTTTACAAAAGTTATTCTCAAAAAATGAGGTTCAAACATGCGCAAACTATTGCATTCGAACTGTTTTGAACTTGACGATGTTAAACGTATACTAGAGTGGGTAAAAATTAATTGCTTTGCATAAATTTTTTATGTTAATTAGTTATTATCTACGCGTCTCAATTGTTGGCTAAAACTGTGTTTTCATAATAAATTTCCCAATCTCTTCTCTAGTCCGAATAAGGATATCATTTTATTACACAAGTAATACTATTTATCATGATGATGATAGAATATCGATAATATGACAACCAATTATCCTTCACATTTTTCACTCACTCTCTCCCTCGTAAAAATGAAACTGTATAATCTTATTATTCCACGTAAACGGCCACGTCACCAATGTTTCATCATTATAATGACAAATAGCATTATTCTTATTTCACCAGGCAAGTAGAATATACAACAAAATTTTAAAAACTATTTTCTATCAAGTACAAAAGACTTCTGTGAAATTCTATAGAGAAAAGAAAGTAAAATATGACAAACAAAAAGTACATTGGTGTCGAGACAACTTCATGTTTGACAATCTATGTTGATTTTGATCACCAGTAATCACCACAAGAACATGAACCATCGACGAAGTGGTGAAATCGGTTGCGGTCCCTTACAACTATTTTTCGACCTGTGATTTTGGATATGAGCTTAGTAACAACATGGCAATCTGGACACACTCGAAGGTTCTTGACAATCTTGATAGTAGTTCCCGGTTGAGTGCTAATAAGACCAAAAGCAATAGCAAGCCTTTCACTGTGAACCTCTAATGATTTCTCTTTTTCTGACTCTCCAATATCATGCAGCACTATTTCTGTCTGTGGTAAGTAACCATGAGCCTTAAGCCATCCATTTATCTCCTTCAGCATCTCATAAATTTCTTTACATTTTGGATGTTTCAAGTCACCAGCAAGAAACTCGTGCACCTTATTATTAACCTCGATAGAGCTACAACCTGGCTCCTTGCGCACTCCACTTTGCTTCATCATAGCCCTCACTCTTGCCACCCTATCCCAATTGCCTACTGAAGCATATAAATTCGAAAGAAGAACATAAGTTCCAGAATTTGCAAGGCCACGTTCTATGAGGATTTCCACAATTTTCTTTCCCATGTGGATGTTCCTATGAAGTGTACATGCACCTAGCAATGTTCCCCATAAAATCGGGTCAGCATCATCTTTTATGCTATTAACAAGCTTGTAAGCTTCTTCTAATTGTGCAGCTCGTCCAAGAAGATTGACCATACACCCGTAATGTTCAACCTTGGGTTGAATCCTGTACTGATCTTTCATTGCATTAAATAAACCCCATCCTTCAGAAACCAATCCAGCATGAGCACAAGCACTCAAAATTCCAATGAAGGTTATCTCAGTAGGGAGGAGGCCAATGCCACACATGTTGTTGAAAAGCTCCAAAGCTTCTTCACTAAATCCGTGACTTGCATACCCTACTATCATCGAATTAAATGCAACAGCATCCTTGTCCTTGATCCCATCAAACACCATCCTTGCATCCTCCAAACTTCCACATTTGCAATACATATCAACCAAAGCACTACCCATCCGAGCATCTACTGGAATCCCATTATACTGCATGTGAGAATGAATCCACCGGCCCAACTCCAATGCTCCCACTTGCCCACAAGCAGAAAGAACTGCCAGCAGAGTTGCCTCATTAGGCTTCACCTTTGCCTTCAACATCTGCCTAAAGAGAATCAAAGCATCATTAGGTCTTACATTCTGAGCATACCCATCAATCATCACATTCCAAGACACAACATCCCTCTCCTCCATTCCATCAAACAACATTCTCGCCTCATCCAAAAGCCCATTCTTTGTGTACCCGGTTATCATTGCAGTCAAGGAAACCAAGTTCCGCTCAAGCATTGTGTCAAAAAGTTTACGAGCTGAGATAATATCCCCACCTTTTGTATAAACATCCACCAGAGCAGTTCTCACATAAGTATCAAACTCCAGGCCAAGTTTAAGCACTTGGCAATGGAGGGATTTCCCAGATTCCAACGGGCAAGCTTTGAGGACAGCAGACAATGTGAATGCATTAGGTTCCACGTCTTCAAATAGCATTTGCACATAGAAAAGAAAAGCTTGTTCGTGGAGATCATTTATGGCATGGCCATGGATAATAGCAGTGTAAAAGTAAACACTAGGATTTGGGGTGCGATTAAAGAGGGACACAGAATGTTCAAGATGGCCTAGAGAACAATACGAGCGCAGGAGCTTGAAATTCAAGACTGGATGGCTTTCCAGACCATGACGAATTACAAACGCATGAATTTCGCTTAGGGGTTTGATAGATTTGCTTTTGCCTATGAGCAATGCCAGTCTTTCTGGCTGCAGACGGTGAGTTTGCTTGGTGTTCAGGTGTAGAGGTAGAACGGTAGAAGTGGATATTGACGACATGACTTCACTCTTCAATAACTAGATCATGTCTGATATTTTCACTTCATGGGACACTAAGCATAACTTAGTGGTACTTTCCAAGACATAAAAATTATTGGATAGCAGCCCCAGCATTTAATTTGATACCTGCAACTTGAGAAGATTACAGAATCAGAATAGGTTTTTACGAAGCAGCTAGAGTTCAAAATATTATACATACACTACATGTATATATGAATGGAAAAGCTACCAAGTCATGCAGCTGCTGATTGGATGGCGAACGAGGGGTATAGAACTATAAACATTAAAGTAATGGAAAGCAAAGATTCACAATGGATTATGGTCATGATTCTAAAAACTGGCAAAAGGGAATTCCTAGTGTAAAGTAAAAGAGAAGATGGACAGGAAGCATGAAATTACAATTTACAAATGATTTTATACATGGCAAAGATTAGACTATTCAAGGCTACAGGAAAATGACCATAGCAGTATGATTAATCAGGAACTAAAAGACGAATAGCATCCCTCCCGATAAGAAATCTAATACATCTAGACGGAAATTGGGCGTAGCCTTGTACAGTATTTATGTACAGGTTGTGCATTTCTGTTGGGAATATTCACAAATAGTTTGAAGTCAACGAGAAGTAACACATTGAAATTTTAGACCACTGAAAGACTCACCAGTAAGAGAATGCTACTTGCCGGAAATGTCCGCCCCATAAGTGAAAGGGAAACGGTGGCGAATTTCGTTGTAATTCACGTACACGTATGCGTAGGATTGTTTGCTAATTGCTACACTTGGAGTTCCTTTTGTTATCCACTAAAAAGTCGGGCCCGACTTGAATGGGTTGCCACTACTCCCTTCAACTATAATGCATAAAAGATTGGTGTAGCCTGCTTTGTGCCTTAAATTAGATTTTAGTAAATTTTGATAAAAATTGATCAAATATATGATTAAAAAGTTATTGATCACATAAAATTTGTAGTTAAAATTAACCGTTTACTTTAACTTAAATTTTAATTAACTTTTTAACTAACCAAATAGGGACAACATTTGATCCCTATTTTCTCGTAATAATTACCATTCTATGGGGTTAGCTTTTCAATTTCGTGCACAACATAAATAAAAGGTTAATATTCATATGAACAATTATTATTTGGAGAGAAACAATGGTTTGAATAGTGAGTTTTAGAAGAATGTCTGGTTAAAATGTTTTGAATTTACATGCAGAATATTTTATCGTGTGAATGTCCAATTGAAAATGAGTATATAGAAAAAAAGAATTTTAAAATAATGATTGTAAAACATGGACTATTGTGAGAGTTCTACACTACTAATTGTATTGACTATAGAAGAAACCACTGAGAAAAAAAGTGGCATGTTGATGGGAAAATGAAGACGTTTCTTTAATCCTAGTTTAATTGCAATGTTTTTATAACTTAAAATAAGGAAGTGGTTAGTTGTCTATGGAGATCAAAATTTTTGTGAATATCAAAATTGGAATGATATTTTGTGGTTATTTCATATTTTGTTTTTATAACTTAAAATAAGGAAGTGGTCATTTCATATTTTGTTCCTGATAACTTAGAGGTCTTAGGCGACTAATTATTATGAGACCCTTCAACATAATCATTTTTTCACAAGTGTAGAAAAAGAAATTTTTTTTGAAAAGAGAATGAATAAATTCTCACCTGATATATTCAAAACTTCGTTACTTGGTGAAAAAACAACAGTTCTATGTGGACCTGCTGGAAATAAGTTCTTATTTTCTATAAGCTTGTAATGAAAATAAGCTTGTAACTTCCTGGTGGCCAAGAAATTTTTTCCTACAACTCTACAAACCTCAGTCAAAGAAGAATCACTTAAAATGCATAACCTCCTGCCTGGTTTTTTAAAACCTGATGCATTGAAGAAATATGTGGGAAGTATGGACTCCATATGTAATCAATCTCATTTCTAGAATATGATTAACAGACTAAGCAATCAAACGCTACATTTTTTTTGACATTTTAATTTCTTTAATAAAACCTTTCCGTCACCAAGCTCCTCCTTTCCCCCAACAATGCCATTAGGCCCAATATGTACATATTGAAATCAAATCAAGAATTAATCCACATAATCAACAGAAATTAATATTCTTAACTCTACTGTATAAATAATTATACATAAAAGTAGCTGTGCAAGTAAAGGACTTTTGAACCAGATTGTTCTGAATCATTCAAAATTATGATTGTTTGACTCAGCTTAGCTTCAGGGTTCAATCGGAACTGAGTTAATTAATGAATGCCCTTTTAAATAAGCTTTTTAATGTAGTATAAGCTTGAAAATAAATCTCTCTCCGACTGGTCCATTACCTTTCCCACAACCCAGTTCCAACATCACAAATCACTATCAGTTAACAATTCAAAATCAAATCGAGAAATAATCCAAACTCTTAAAAAATTTGGGAGAAAGACCCATCAGTATAACACGTCAATATTCAAATTGAGAATGCAAAAGCCAAAAGCAAACACATATGGATAAAGTCTCTAAGTGTGATCGATATCTTACCCCAAATCTTGTAGTCCACCGTCCACGTTTGAGAGTGTTGAAGAAGCCGACTAGCCGTCGGAGGCGTAGCGAGAAGGCGGAGAAGGAGACTGAAGTTGAAGACGATAAGGAATTATCCAAATAGGAACCTTCAAACGTTTTTCATTGGACCTGATTGGGCTTCTTCGGCTTTTTTTTTTGTGGCCCTTAAATTTTGAGGCCCAAGGCAGTGGCCTTACTTGCCTTGGCCAGGGCCAGCCCTAGCTTGAAGTGTTCACCGGACAGCACGGCAGCAGAAGCTAGTGCCTGCAGCGCACCCTGCGAAACGCGAAAGTTGTTGTCCTTCAAAATATCCAGGCACGCGTCGACGAGTGACGTCACCTCGGATGACGTCAAACTCTTCCGCCAAGCGTCCAAAAGCTGGTGGAGCCTCTCCACGTCCATCATTCTCTCCTTGGTGTCCTTCGTACGCGTCAACTCCAATGCTTCCTCCATGAAGGCGGTGGCGTCCGATGCTGCGGTGTGGATCGGAACTATGTAGCAGTTAACGGAATAATTTGAAAGTTGTTTATTTGTAAATTAGTGCTTATGTTACTGATAAAAATAAGCAACTTATTTCGATTATAAAAAAAATTATTTTCTTATTTCTTTTAACAGAGAAGATGAAAAATTGTGTTGATTTGGACAATTGAAAACAAATAAAAATTATTCAAATAAGTTTTTTTCTACTTTTAAGTAGAGAGTTATTTATTTGAAAATTAGTGCTTATATGAATTTATACGTATTATTGATGTATCAAACCGGTGAAAGTAATTTTAGGTTAAACTTTTAATTTGTAAAAAATATCATTTTAGTTTATTTTTCTTCTTTAAGACTGCTCATCGATGCTTAATTTACTTTATCAAAAATATCATAAACGTAAAATATAATATGTACATTAAGCCCCTGTTTGGCCCCCATTATTTTTCATTTTTGAGGGTTGAAAATTTTTAGAATAGTGATTGATGAGAGAACGTGTGGTTGAAATTTTTTTGATTTGTGTGTAATATATTATTTTATTTGGTGAATGTGTGATTGAAATGAAAAGAGAAAAAAATTCAATGTAATGTAATGTAATTTAATGAGGGCCAAACAAGGGCTAAATACCCGTCAAGATTGTAAATAATGTTGTCGAGCGTAAAAAGTTTTTCGATAGTAAATTTGAATTGGATTAACTTTTACATTATAATGAACTTGAGTTGGGCAACAATGACTGATAAAGGCCCTCCAACCACAACAATATGGATAATTCAATCAATGAATCATATCATGTTTGTTAAACTAGTTTTGAGTTGGAATCAACTTCCACAATGGCATTATTACAACAATTAAAAGACAAACATAGAGACAAACCAAAGCCACCAACACTTTTTAAAAAGAAGATGATGAGAACAAACAAAATTGCTGTTTTCACACTATTTTGTATCATTTTAGGCATCATGAAGCACCAAGAAATTCATTCGTGCAATAAGTATGATGGATTGTGGGTGGTTAAATATCGCTAGTGTATTCAAAAGGTCAAATTCTAGACAGTATACATATGTAATGTTCACGTCATAGTTTGAGGGTCATACACGCTTTGCCCCTGTTTGACATCCATTCTCTTTTTTCATTTCAACCACATATTCTATCAATAAAGCCCCTGTTTGACACCCATTTCTTATCTCATTCTCATTCTCATTTTTCTACAGTACTCATTTCTAACCACACATTATTCAAATAAAATAATATTACACATAAACCCAAAAATTCTTCTTACTTTTTAACCACACATTCTTTACATCAATCACTATTCAAAAACTCATTCTTCAAAATAATTGGTGTCAAACGGGGGCTTATTTTAACTCTTTTTATCAAGTTGATCAGTTTTGTCTCATTCTGTCAATTCATTCTAAGTACTTCATGGTACAAAATGTCCTTATTACCTAAATTTCTTCATTGAAGGACTCTAAAATAATTAATTTATCCCCTTTTTAAATAAATAAGAATTATNAATTTGTAACGGTATCTTTTCGACTTCAATTCAGGATTTGTTTGACATGATTTTTGTAAAGTTAAAAGTTGTTCCTGAGATTATGCCCTCGTTTGAGCCCCTTTTCTGGGATTAATAAATTTCGAAATAATAATTTTTTGAAAAATGTTCAGTTAAAAAATAAGGAAAAATTTTGGATTTACATGTATAATATTTTAGTGTGAATGTATGATTGAAAATGAGTTTTATGAAATTGGGAATCAAACAAGGGCTAATAAGTTTTTTAACATATTTGAATAATTTTTTAAAATTATTTTATCAATCTAAAGAGCATTTAGAGGAAACATGAAATTTTTTTACAGGAAGCAGAAGCAGAAACAGAAGCAAAATCTATGCTAAATTGCCCTCAACTAAAATCAAATTGCAGGTTCGCCGAATTTTCTTGAATAATTATTTTTTTTTTTTTTAAGAAAAGTAAAGAAACGAATGATTAAAACGGTGCGAAAACATGGGCTCGTTGGATTATGATGGGCCTAAAACTAAGGCCCATCTTCCATCCAAAAATAAATTTCTTCTTCTTCTTTTTATTTTATTTTATTTTGGTTTAATTTTCTATTTCCCCAAAAGTCAAAGGAAATCATATGCCAAGAAAGTTCTTCGCAGAATCGATTCTCTGCTGACACAGTTCTGAAATTCTGTCCTCCAAAATCTTGTACTGAAACAAAAAAAAAAAAACCAAAAATGCGAACCCCATGTTGCCATACATTTCTTGCATTCATCCTCAAATTCCTGAATTTTTTGCAGACATTTATTGGTATATCAATCATAATTTTCTCTGCTTACATGCTTAACCAATGGGAACACCATACACCTCCTCCAGCTCCCACGCCGTACAACCCAGAATTTAAGCTTCCCGGTGACACAATCCCCGCTCTCAATTCCGTTTCCGACGTCGTTTTTGGTGTTGGCCACAATGGGATCCGCCTCAATTCCCACACCAACCCAGCTCCTTGGTACTTTAAAAATTTTTGTTTTTGTGATATTGAATTCGTTTATTAATTTCAAATTAGGAGTGAATTTCGTTTAATGTTCATGGATTTAGGTTTAAAGCTTGTATTTCATCTCCTCTAATTAGTTAATAGTTGTTTCCTTTTCTGTTCGGATTGGCAGGTTCATTTATGCATTTATGGGAGTTGGGATATTGATTTGTTGCATCACATGTATTGGTCACATTGCGGCCGAAGCAATCAATGGCTGTTGCCTTTGCTTTGTATCCTTTCCTTTTCTGAAATGAGAAGGAAATTTATTCTCCTCATTTTTTGCCGCTATAGATGTGTAGTAGCACAGGTTTCAGGCGGATGAAAATTCGATAATACTCTGCTTTTGATTTTCATTGCTAGTCGTGTTGAGGCTATATATCTGGGCATTGAATTATGGTCTGGGAATAAGAGTTTAAATGGATAATTTCTTAATCAAGTCAAGTCTTCAACTCATTGATGCGAAGTATGAAAATCATATATTTTCTTTTGCTTGTTATGAGATGATCCGTTTTACAATTTCTTTGTGATATATCCTTGACCATATGAAAATGCCAGTATGCTCTACTCACCACTGTATTTGTTCTGTTGGAAGCAAGTTTGGTGGCTTTTATAGCACTTGATCACCAATGGGAGAAAGTAGATTGTGTCTTTTGTTGGTATTTTGATGCTGGTTCTTGCATTTTTCTTCCACATTTCTAACCTACTACATAAAATTTTTAGGACCTCCCACTTGACCCCACTGGAGAACTTGATAGTGTGCGTGCATTTATTGAGAAAAATGCAGATGTTTTAATGTGGTTTGGCATATCCATCATTGTAATTCAGGTACGTTTATCTTTATATTACTCATGGACATTAATACAAAGTTTTTCGTCTACAAAAATTACTCTTTCGAGGTCAGGAGATCTGCTAGCTCCAATGCTCTTCACTAAAGTGTAAATACGCTGAAAAAATTTAAGAAGTCCTAAGTTATTCAATTTCTTCTTGAGGACTAGTTATTTGCTGATGGATGATTATTAATGTGGCTAGTAAGTTCTCAGACTCAACGAGCAAGCAAGTTTCACAAAACATATGCGGAAACTTGCAATTAAGGCCATTTCAAAATTCATCTTGGATGTGTTACTTATTTTAGTGTATATGTGATTTGGGGCCTCAAGATCTTCCTTGCAGTTCATTTTAAAACCGTCCTTGCCCAGCTTTAAAAGACGGAAAACTGAAAAGTTGAGTGATGGTCTCTGAACTACTGGATGTTAGTTTTCATAAAAGATATAAAACTACTAGACATTGCATTTCACGGTATATTCAATTGTAATTGTTAGCTGCATCATTAATTTTGATGTTATAGACAAAATTCTTTATTATTCTTCTCAGGTGTTATCCCTACTTCTTGCAACAACACTCGGATCCTTGGTTTCCAGTCGGAGGGTAGACCATGATATTGAGGAAGATTATGATGCTAGGAGTAGAACGAGGGAGCCATTGCTTAGTCCACATCCAAACCAAGCATCTGGGTCAACCAGGGCCAGGGGCGATGATAAAGTGGTGCACAATGACATCTGGAGTTCACGGATGAGAGAAAAGGTAGGCCTTTAAGTGGCAATAACAATCCTTTACATTGTAGTGTTCAATATATGCACATGTCGAATAGGAGTAGTTCCCATAGCTACAGGATACATGGTATTGATCTAATTAATCTAGCAATTTATACGAGTTGGCAATTTGTCATTCTAATAGAACCTGTAGGATAAACTATAAATGGGAATAGATGCGGAAGAGGGAACCATAACCCAATCCATTAGTGGTTGGGGATGGGAATAGTATTGGCTGTGCAGATTGGGTAGAATTCTTAATGGATCTATTCAGTTCTCTGAGGTCATTGTCTTCTCGCACGAATCACTGGCATGAAATTAACGGAAAACTTTGAAAGGAAAGAATATACGAAGAAACTTTACTGACGTCAGCTATTGTATGACATTTTTTCCTCCTGCAACTAATGCACTATACATTGGATTCATCTGAATCTGGCCTCAATATTCTAGTATTAGATGCTATTAACTTTCCAACAAACTTATGTCGTAGTCATTTGCTTTTGGATTTGCTAGACTTTTGTAGAATTTGTGATGCTTGGAATGTAATTAGTGTTAGATGGGGTCCAACTTAATGCCTAAAAAACAAATGTGGTCCATTTATACAGCTAACGTGTGCTTCTCTGTTTGTTTGTTTGTGTTTGTATTTAATGCTACGTTCTTTACCTCATGATAAACAGAAAGGTAGACAGAGAAATACTATCATGCTATTTGTGCAAAATTACATCTAGCTCAAGAGTGGCTTGAATGAAGAAATTCTTGACTTGTTTTGAAATTGTAATAGTATATCTGCAATATGCTAATACAATTTGTAAATTACATCATGAAAGTACCTTTAGCTGTTGTCTACAACTAAAGTATAGGAACCGTACATATGTGAAATGGACCCCAGTTACTTATTTATGCCAATTATTAGTCCTTATTTCATCTTCTTTTCCTTTTGCATTAATTTCTCCTAGGTTGTCAGATCCGTACTATGGAGTAACTCTTCTTTCAGTTTGTGATCTTTTTTTTTTTTTTTTNTTTTTTTTTTTTTTTTGGTACTTACTTTTTAAATTTCCTCTTAAAATTGTGCATTGCAGTATGGACTAAACGGTGGTGATGCCACGCATACTTTACGTCACCAAAATTCCTCGACTGACGCAAAATCGAAGCAGTGAATATCTAAAGGCACGAATCTCCTGGAGCAATATGCTGGAGTATCTTCTTTTCACAAGTAGCTCCTGGAGCATTTTTCTTTTCATGTACATAGGTCTTCAAAGCATTATTGTTCACTAAAGCTAAAGCTATGTGTTGATGGACATACGGTCATGTGGTGTTTTCATTGTGCTGGGTATACTTGTTTCAACTAGTGATGTTTTCTTCTTTTTTGCCACCAATTTGGGTTGTATATCCAAGGAGTTCTTGGAAACAGTTCTAAAACTGTTATTGTGAAACTAGACTGAATGAGAATCTTGTTATCGTTTATTATGGCAACAAATTAAGCTTTGTTCCTAATGAATTTGGAGTCGACCCATAAATCCCATTTTATCAGTCTTTTAGATTGACGCTTCGTCTAAGAAGATTCCAAATGACACAATTACAAACCAGCCAATCCCACCTAAAAGCATTGTGTCACAAAAGAGTTTAGATCTACTGTCCTTGGAAGGCTTCAATGACTAGAATTTGACACATCCCTAAAATTTTGAGCCCAAAAAAACCCAATAAACTCGTTACAAGATCATTCACGTTTCGTGTTGAGTTCAGATTTGCTATCCCTGGCAGACTATCCCCTTGACATTTCACACGTACAAGGTTGGCCAAGTATAAATGAATAACCCCAAAATGCAAAAATTTCACTCCCATGTGAGCCTCTTACTGTCATTGTCATGGAGCTGTTGGGACTATTAAATTCTTAGTCCCGAATAACTTGTTCAACCCAGCAAACGACAGAAAATTAAGATTTTGCTTTTTGGTCACGAGATTTTCCTGTCCATGCTTTCTATTTTATGGTAAAAGTGTAAAGGGATGGATACTGAAAGTACACCTGCTACTTACAGGTGTTCAAGAATATTACGCACCTGTTTGAGTCTTTATCGTATAAAAACTTATTTTCAACCACATTTTTTTTCAATAAAATAATTTACACGTAAATTCAAAGCTTTTTCCCACTTTTAATTACACATATAATATATTAAATATCACATATTATATCAAGTGAGAATCATATTTGAAAGATTTTGACATTACTACAATTCAATTATTTCAATAATACTACATTTTTCGTTTTTTAATATATAATAAATACTATATATTCATTGTCATGTTATTAATTCTCAGAGTGTATTTTGGACACATTTTTTTGAAAGAATGTATTATTGAATAGTAAATTGATGGAGAATGTGTCGTTAAAAATGAAAGAAAAGTTATTGATGTGATGGAAAATATTATTTTATTGAAAAACGTGTGGTTGAAAATGAGTAGAAAAATAAGAATGAAAAAAATAATGTGTATCAAACAGGGCATCAATTAATTAACATTCACATTAATCTAGGCTCAATAAATCATGACATGATAAATCTTGATCTACACGAATCTAGAATTATTATAAATTAATTTATTTCTATTCTATTTATATATCTAGAAATTTTAATAGATGTTTAAATTCATGTATTAGCAATTAATTCTTATGTACCAAATATAGTATAAAAAAGTTGTTCATTTATAGTATTTTATCATATAAAAAAATATGAGTCATAGAAGTTTGATTTTGAGAGTACAATTTTCTTCTTTTAAATTTCTATCATAAATTTTATTTTCTTTAATTCGTTTGAAACTCATCAAATCCTCCCAACAAATTGGTGTCAAATTTTACTTTTACGGCACTTATAAAGTATTTTAAAATAACGTACAATTCTCGTTCAACTCTGACTAATTCTCTAAAAAATTCTATAACAAAATTTATTTTTCTTTAAAATTGAGTTCTGCAGTGTTTTGTGCTGTTAATGACCTTAACAAATGGCTACAAATAGAAGTATAGAACCCTGTTGATTAGAATGAATTTGGAAGGTTTTGCGAGGTTCTATTGTTAACTTGATAGGACTCTTTATTCGTACACTCAACCCTCTATTTTCAGAAGGTATGATATAGCAATATTTCCGAGCAATTCTCCAGGATCTCCTTGAAACCCTCATGATGTGGTAAATGGAGGGTGTTGGGGGAAGCAATGAGTGGGATTTCCCCTACAGAGAGCCGGATGAGGGGAGACCATGTCAGGCTCAGAAGGCAGAACATCCCAACCCTAAACCTCGATTTTCCCGTTGAAAGCCACGGTGGGCATCCAACAACACATTCGAAATAGAGCAAGTAGAACCTCATTCTTCAGTCTTGAACAACTATTCCAACCTTTTATTCACTTTTAATTTTGTTGCAAACTCAAATGGACTATTTCCATCCTTTCGGAAGTCGAAAGTATAATAAATATCCAAATGGCAAAATAAGTATGTAATACTTTATAATCAAAAACCCAACTTTGTAATGATTAGTGGATGTTTTCCGTCCACTGGACAACTTCGTGCAACAAAATTAAAAGGTTGGAGACCAATTACTTCAAATAGAGTGCAACTGAGCGCTCATAATCCATAGCATGGCTTTCTCTGGAAATAGAGCAGACCAAGAGCACATGCTGCTAAACAAGAGTAATTTTCCCAACCAAGAGATTTTTCAGAAATGCAGCATTCATACCATGGGTTGGTCTGCTTATGATTTTTACACCAGCAGGATCACATGTTTCCCTTTTAGTAACCTATCTCGTGCGATGTTGTCATCTTGTTTATTGTTTGGTGGATATACTACGAAGCTTTTTGGAATTTGTGCTAATTAGGTAACTTCAAATGGGAGATGCTGGATGCCATTTATCCATTATGATAAAGCAGGTTAAAAAGTCTTATCTTGAAAGACATTTTGGAAGGTTCAAGCACCAAAATTCATCAGACCTATGCATAAAAAATCCTGTAATCCATGTAGATTAAGCTTATCATAGGAACATTTGTGAATTTCTCAGTTAATTATTGTGCATATAGAAAAATAATTCACATAAGCTACCACCACCAGGACCATCCATAATATTAATATAAGACAGGGCAAGGCAAATCTAATATATATGCATGAAGATTCTGGTGTCCTGCATTGGATATAAAATGAAAAGAAAAGGTTGTACAGCAGAAATCCAGACAAATATATGGATAACATATTTGCAACAATTTGCAGAATTAAATAATTAGAGATGGGCTGGGGACCATTTTAACATATTAATATGCACAAACAATAGAGTTGTAAATTAAAGAAATTATTTTAAGTTATTAAAATGTATATAGTCTCATCAAAGTCTACCTGTCAATTCCAACACAGCATCTTGCACAATCTCTTCTAGCAACTTCCCTTCAATTTCCTTTCCTAAATTATCCATCTCCTGTCTCAAATGATCATCCCACCCCTTCCCCACCACCTCTTTTCTTACTACACTCTCGACCACCAGGCTGTTGTCGTCCTCATAACCAATCGAAACACATCTGGCCTCACCAGAAAACCATATCTTCATCCGGGCCCACACCTGGTCCACCATCATCAATGATGCATTCTCCAATGAGCTACTATTGGCCCCAATGCATGGAATGGCTCTTTGGCATGAGGCCGGTCCATATCCCACAATGTCCACTAATGCTGCGTTCACACAATCAAACGCAAGTTTACGGGTCGATCTCTTTTGCCTTCGCTTAGCCTCCTGTAGTGTGTCTTTCTCATTTAAATCTATGTACTTGTCTCTTAATGATGGGTCCAATGGGCTTTCAGGCGAGTGCCATCTAGCCAAGAATGAGTCAGGTTGCTCCTCACCATCAAGTCCAGCCACTGATAGTAATGTCTGAACAAAGAAAAACCATTCTTCTTCCTCTGCTCCTGGGGAGGGTAAGGATGATTTTAAGGGATATGACGAGGCTGTATCCATAACCAAATCATCTGATGGTAGAGTCCGGGCAATAGATCCTATGGGTGGTGATTTGTCAATCAAATTTGATCTAACAGGATGAACCACCAACTCAAATCCTGTTTTTCCAAAAAGAAAAGTAAATAAACTAAATGAAACAATAAATCAACAAATAACATGCACATTGAGAACCAGACAACAAACTTTACCATGTCGGTCAGGCTTGATAGAACTAGAGGACTGCAGTGCCGCATGTTCATCCTCTTCAAAATTTGGATCTAAGACTGACATTGGACTCGGTTGGTCCTGGTTCTCACTTCGGTTTCCAGGTGCAACAGATTTTGTTACAGACTGTCCACTCTGAAAAGGTAGAAGAACGTTAATGACATCCTAAGTTTCCCAGTACAGAATAATATGAACACATGTTAGTGACAATTACTACAGTTTCAAGCTACAAAAAATCATCGATGAGGAAACAACCCCATGGCAAGTAGAAGAAAACACATAATCAGAACTCAACACATATCCTGTCCCTCATTTGGATGGATAACTCTCAAAAAAACTTTTTTCCATTAAGAAAATCTGAATATAATCCTTTCCGATCATCTGGTAAATTACCATCATTGTAACTCTTGTTAATTGTCAAAATTTTACAGGGTAGTAGAAATTTATGGTCGCGGTTACCAGTTATATATATCTACATATTCATTAACCTAAATGTTGTCTTGGTGGAAGCTGCAAGAGCACTTTCGAAGGCCAACGTGTTAGAGAATGTAGAAAGTACAAGAACGAGAAAGTCCACAAAAGCATTTCGATTGTTAAGAGTTTCGTAACGAGAAAAAAATAATCACTCGTATCAAATTTATACAGCAAACACAGAAGCTTCTCATGTCACTGATGCACCCATAACTACCAAATCAAAGCATGCATCATGTAACAGAACAAAAAAGTTCAAAGAAAATAGGGGGCATAGCCAACCACATAGATAGTAAAATTACCTTGGGAGATGTCACACCCTGCTGGCCAATTAAATTTGGGGAAGCTGCTTTAATTGATGGATCCTTCTCTACAGGTGACAGACATTCAGGCACTTCATCATTAAGTCGTTCACCTCTATCTTTGCCTACTTGCCCAAAATGTATTCCTGATGAGCGAGACTCGTCTTTGCAATCAGATTTATCTTTACTAGGTTTTTTGTTTCTTGAGAAAAAAAAACTTGAAACCTTTCCTCTGAATGACGATTTTCCACTTGTCTTTCTGGCCTCCTTAGAAACCTTTGGATCCGGAATGTCTATATTGAGCCTGGCGCCAAACTCAGCAGAATATACAGGAACGGATTTTGACCTCGAGAGATTCCTAGGAGAATTATCCAGATTTTCATCCTTTGTCTGCTCACTAACAAAGAGAGATTCAGAACACCTAGGTTCTTCATTAGTGCTACCTAGTTCCTTAGGCGTTCCAGCCTTCTTTGTCTCAGAAAGAGCAAGCATTTCACCCAATGTGCTAGAGCTTCTCCGCACGGGTCTTTGTTCTTCACAGCTCCCATTAGATGTCATCATTGCCCATCTTTCAGAGAGGCGCTTCTTAGCCTCTCTGCAAACAGATGACTCTGGAGAATATGATGCACGGCTAAATGAGGATGAGTAAGGGCTACCAAACCTATTAACATAATCCCAAGAGTGCCTACATGCTGGTGATATGACTTCTGCATCGCAGAGATTACCCTCTGCATATTCAATTTCTGATTTATTAAATGAACTTTCATCACCGACATATCCGTTGGAGAACATAGAAGTAAGCGGCGTTTCACCTCTATGGAGCGTTTCACGCATCTGCTGTGTGATTGATTTTGCAACTTCTTTTGATTCTCTTTTCTCGTCATCTTCTACATCACCAAAAAAGCCTTCACCATGTACTATCCTTGGTGATTCTGACCGTGGAGAATCAACAGACTTAGTATCATGTGGTCTCACTGAGCTTGGCTTCAGAACTACTATTCGAGTTGGTTGAGTGGGAGTTTCGTCAACATACAGTCCCGCCGGAGGGGAGCATCTCAGATGGCCTTTTTCCAATCCACCTTTCTTCACCTGTTTTCCATCTTTATTCCCAACTGCAGCAAAATTGTTACAGTCCACCAACTTTGAAGGTCTAAGAATGGTAATTCGATTTGTCTCAGGAGGAGGGATAGACTGCAGATTGTATAGATTCTGAGAAAACATTGAATTTGGTTCTTGCAGACACCTAAGAAATAAGTCTTTATTGGAATTTAAAACTTCTAAGGCATCTTGGAATTGCTTTGACTGGCGAAGTTTTTCATCCATAGACAGGCGTTTTGCTTCAATGAACTTCTGGCGAACAAGAGCCATCTTCTTGTCATTAATAGTTTCATAATATTTTCCCTTCTGTGGTGATTTGTCTCGCAAATAATTTGTTTTCTGTGATTTCTTACGTATTTCATAAATATCACTGCATTCATTTGGCTCTAAATATTCAAAGAATCCATTATGTTGCTCCCAGTAACTCACCGGTATGTCTGAATGACTTCGAGGATGACCTCTAAAATGGCTTCGTTGTGCAGCTGAATCAGGTTCCTGGCATGGAGTGGCATCAAGACCCATCAACTTAGCAACTACATTAGACGGACTGTGTTTGGAATCTACTTCTTTGGACATTTCTCGGGCAATGAGCATCTTTATGGGTGTTTCATTTGATTTTCTGTTTGAACCAGTTCTGTGGAGTTCAGGCACAATCTGCACAACTCACTCCAATGCACAATATAATTAAATATCAAAGAAAATTAGCAAAATGTTTGCGGCTATGCTTCCATATATTACACTCTTAACTTAGTAATATAAATTGAAACATACCGCTTTGTCATCTATTTGGTAATTAGATGGAGACATCAATGCTTCATCTACTCGGCTTCTCGAGAGTGGTGAACCTGTGGATCAGTTACTATTGTGTCACAACACAACCTTTCTAATGTACAATTAAGAGGAAAACAAACTTCCAAACCCATCAATCTTTAGATGAAGCAAGAGACGAAGAAAGGAACCTATAACAATAAAAACAAGTTCACATACCAAAAATAATATAAGGCAATTTAGAACTTTGTTCATATTTTATGTCATCTATATCTGGCAAGGGTTTGGACCCAAAAAAAATTCGAAAATAATTCTTATGCGTATTAGATAACAAACAATCAATCAACCAGAAGCATTTCAAAAACACGTTCCACAGCAGAACACGGGTCAACAATGTCATCTCAACTTCATTGCTTTCAATGTAAAATCATTTGTTAAAATATATGACCCAGACTTGGTGAAATTTTTATGATATGAAACATCAACATTTCCAATAAGTTATCTAATTTTCTGCAAGGAAAATATAAACATGTTAGGCAGGAAAATGTAAAAAGAGTAAGCACCATCTCGATGCGGTTTATCAGTGAGCAGCCTGTTTCCGGCCACCGCACCATTCAGGTCAAAGAAGTTCACCATTCTTCCCAAGCACCCTGGAAAAGTTTTCTCAAAACTGCGGGTTTTTCCATTCTGGTGACTCCCATTCATTTCAATAACTGGTATTGCACACTCCACTGCATTAATTACCCAAAAAATCAATTACTAAATAAAATTAAAACTGAAAGCAGGAAATAAAGAAGATAAATTGCTGGATTCAATGCTAAAAATAGTTAGGTTTGCAACCATTGAGAACGTAAATTAGCAGTTTCACAGCTGAAAACAGAGAAAGAGAAGCTGCTTTTGCAAAGAACCTCTAACCACCAAATACACAGAAACTCATGAAAAATGAAAACTGAAACAGAAAAATTGAAATCGCCCAACATTGCCAATAAAAATGAAAACAAATCAAAATTTTGCTCTTTCACACCAAAGAACTTGCTTCAGAGATGAAAATCCAAGCACCTGTTTATGAGAGAGAGGGAGGGGGAGAATGAGAGGAAAAGACTATCTTGAGGAGTCAATCACTTGTATTCCTGAATAAACTCCAAGTCCCTCAAAATAAGTGCAATTAAACATACATAACATATAATTAAATCAGGAGAGTTTCAATTTAGTAGTAATAAAGTCAAGATTAAAGCAAATTGAAGCTTTAACTTTAAAGCCTCTAGCAAAATAATTGAACTTTCAACTTTATATCATTGAACAAAAAGGCCGTATCTTTATTCAAAAAACCATTGCAAAAGAGCTGCAGCTACAGCAGACAAAAAAGCAATTCAATAAAAAGAATCAGATTCGATTCATTTTTTTTACCTTCCAAAAGCGAGATCGAAGAACCGTAACGAAAAGCACTGCATAGAGTCCAAAAAAATCTCACAAAAATTTCGCAATGCCAACCTCTAACAATGTACACACACAAACACTCCACAGATTTTTCTTCTACCTTCTCCACACGGTCAAACTCAGAAATGTAGGCGTTTAGTTAGTTTTTTTTACAAGGAGCTCGAGTCAGATAACAGAAATAGCGCAGGCTGACAGGTTTCCGGAGTTAAGACATTTCCGGCGAGGTTAATGCCGGAGAATCTCCGGATTTTAGAGAGAGAGAGAGAGTATTTTGTTTTGCAGTGAATTTTGCTTCTGTCTTCTCCACCGACTCTCTGTCGGACTCGACATGGTATCATTTATTCTGATTTATTTATCAGATTCGATTACGTAAATGGAAAGAGGTGCAAATTTGGACTAAAAAACTATAAATTGTTAAATAACACAAATAGGCTTTGGAATTATTATTTTTTTGCTGAATGGTCCTTCAACTTTAATATTATTTTAAATGGACCCATATGACTTTCAATATGAATCTCTGTCATTATCTTTACAATTTGAGATCTATATATATATAGAATTTTTTTCCCTTAATTATTTCGTATTTTCGGTAACATATTTCGAAATAGAGAAAATTATTAATTAAAGTTTTGCTGTATCAAGAAGAAATATTTTTTTGACGATTTTTTATTACTGCTTTATTATTCTTCCCTTTATTATGTACCTCAGGATTTGATAGCTTTCAAATCAATTTTGCAATAAATATTTCAAAATTCAAATACCAGATACTATTTGCATATATAATTTCAATAGCTCGAATTTTAATATTTTACTATGTGGATTTGGTGATTGTTAAATTTCTCGATTTATCTCATTAATATTAAAGCAAGATTATGAATGCTATCACGTCCTCGAAATTTGAAATGCTCGAAACTTAATTCTTTTGACCCCGAAATGTTGTCATTCTAACATGGAACATTACTCTGATGTCGAGTAGAGCACCTCGAAATGGTATTGCGCTTTGCCAAATATCCTTCTACACTGAGATTCGACTTCTTAATTTGGCCCATGTTTGGTATCATTTAAAGTTTAAATTTTAATCAAAATCAAAGTTAACAATTAATTTTAACAATATGTTTCGTGGATTTCACAACTTTTCAACAACACATTTTAACAACTTCTGTCAAAATTAACTAAAAGTCTAATTTTCAACCCCGACAAACACGAGCTTAATTTCAACGTTGAAATTGAATAAATGTAATTTTCTCGTAGGACGTATAAAACAAAAGTAGAATAATGAAGTTGTATAATAATAATAATAAATAAATAAAAAGATATTCTCGTAATATAAATTATAATTAACAAATTGATTATAAGTAATTTTCTTATGATTAGCCCTATAATGAAGTTTTTGACTTTACTTGAAGTTTCGTCCTTGTCTGTGGTCACTCGACAGCACGGTATTAACGGTTGAATTTTTTCTCAATCTGCTTTGATAAGACATTAACACACCTTATTTTCAGGTTAATTACGAAAATGATATTTTTAAATACACATGTTATCAATCGCAGCATTGACAGTTGCGCAAATGAATCTCAGCCGTTGAGTCGTGACGTAAGAATCCAATGGAAATATTAGCGAATAAGGGACCCTACCCTACCTCCAACTACCGTTGGCCTTCATTGCAATATTAAAATAAAAGATTTTTCCACTTGTACAATCATTAGATGATTGTAAATCTTACAACCTCTCACATTAGTGTGGGACCCACAAATTAATTTAATGAAATAAGGGTAATTAATAATTATAATATTTTGGACGATTAAACAAGAGAATAATTATATTCAAAATTAATGAAAGATATAAAGTTCAACATAATATATGTATGTTTTGATTTTCGAGTCACATTAATAAATATCTCAAGCCTGCTAAAATAAATATGGCTAGGGATTGCAATAGGTAGATCGAGCTGGTCCTTAGACATTGAGTTCGTCTAGTGTCCAAATCGTGGCTAGACAACCCTTTGGTTCATAGGTCAAGTCGAGTTGTCCAAATGCCCACGAGATGTCTTATTTTTTTAAAAAAAACTAAAAATAAAGTGAGTTCAAAACAAAATTAAAGAATGAATTAACCCACGAATTCGAAACAAGTCGGTCCGTAAAAAAATAAATGAGCTCGATTCAATCATGAGTGGTCTCAAAACCATCCCATAGACCGAGTCGAAACCACGAGGCCGACAAGCAACTCAACTCTTTTGCTACCTTTTTATTATGATTTATAATTATTGTTTTTCTTAAAACCCAAAGTCAAAATTATCAGCCATTGATCCGGCGCAACTTTTGATAGTCTACTCGAGTAAGAAACGTCAGTTGAGGTTTTTATTGGTTATTCTTAAAGAAAAATAGAAAATGACAAAAAATATTAATAATCATATCGATTAGTTGACCATTGTTTGTCATATGATATTTACTTTATACTATTTCCATAAATCTGCACGTTTGATGCGACACGTTTAAACTTAGTCCAAAATAAAAATAAAAATCTAGGAATGTGTTTAATAAATTGAATTGAATAGCATTAAAAAATTGCATGCAACAAAGTGTATCGATCCAATTTAATATAACAAAGATAAAATAATTAATTATGCAATAAGGTCATGTTTTGCACAATGAGATTACGAGCCGATTATAGCCTAGGAAAACAACTTAACACCTAACCAAATCTAAAATAATGGGAAGAAATCAAGTTTCCATTCAAAGAAATATAGTTCCTATTATGTTAGTTTCAAGCATCTTAAGAGTAAATATCAATGTAGTCATATTACCTTTACTTAAAAGCCAAAAAAAGGAAAAAGTAAAAGAAAATAAAACTGATTTTTCTGCTCCAAATGGATCAAAATCCCAATTTTAAGCTCTCATGGGCAAACAGCAGGAGGTCAATGCACTTCCTCAAGTGTATAAATATTCAGGAAATAAACTACTCGTTTTAAAGTAATCATTACCTTACTATCAAAATAAGTAACTTTATCGCTTATTTATCCAAACGAGTTTGGAAACAATAAATTATTTTAAAGTAAGTTGAACTTACGTTTAAGCTTAGCCAAACATGCATGCATTGGACCAGGGAAAAAAAATCACAGATCAAAGCTACATGAATTACATCTTCAGCTGGTTATCAAACAAAAATCAATATTCAGGGCTAAAAATGTTACATCTATCTTGAGAAATCTATCGATCAATACCTGTTTGATCTGTTTTATCATACGATCCACTTAAAGATATAATGGCAATAGAAATCTTACTACTTAAATAAAGCATCTAACAACAGAAAATGAGCGATCCTGATTCCACACAGCTAAATTGCAAATGCAAATCCATTGAATGTAAATTCCAATGAGAACAACAGAGTTTTGTTGGTATGCAAGTAAAATATTCGACCATATTTCAATTCATTGTCATCATCAAAATATATTTCTTATTTCAGATATATCATGGCTTACACCATCTAGTAGCAAAGGGCAGTCCATTAATTTGTCGAGAGAAAAATGAAAATTAGAGGATCCAGAATGGATGTTAAACGCACCTTCACGATACGGAGTGAAAGTTTCTCCTGGATGTTCACTCATTTGTGCAGAAGAATATGAATTGTGGTCTATCCGAGGAGACTTCCATGGATGAAAAATGGATGGATGGTCCTCTGCAAAGGAATCTGTAGTTGGTAAGCACTTCCACCTGAAATCAGTATTCAGGCTTCTAGGCATCACAAGTTCAAAATCCTGTTGATGCCTATCGAATGAAACGTTGTTGGTAAGCAAAAAGGGATCTCGATCTCGAAGAGAGACGAGAAGATTGCTACTTCCAAGTGCATTTTTTGTATCGCAATCTTCCGCCTCATTATATATTGGAGTACATGGTAAAGCTAGTGGAAACCGTTTTGTTTTTTCCAATGAGCACTCATTTTTTATGTACGGTCCAAAATCCCGAGTTCTAAAGCTGTTTGAATAATAACCTGGCAGCGAGTCGAAGTCAAGAGAGTATTTTGAACACGATGGTTTGGCATCAAGGACATTATCCATATCATTCTGGTGATCCACATTCCATGAAGTTGCTTGTCTGGTTGAATAATAATTTGGCAGTGAGTGGAAGTCTAGATAATACTTTGAACGTAAGGATGACGGACACAGTGCTTTTGCATCAACTGTATTATCCATACCCTTCGAGTGATCAATTTTCCATGAATCCCATCCAGGAAACAAATTCTTTGAGATGTCTTGATTGATAATGGATGAATCAACCTTATCTTCCTCCCTTTCCAGCAAAAGCCTATGCGGTTCACTTCTTGAGTATTCAATTGGACAACAGAGTTCATCAAGTTCTTCAAGATGACATGAACTAGCATATCCATATCTCTCAATCGGTAAACAGAAAAAAGAGCCATGTTGTGTGTATAAATTTCTAATCATATCACTCTCTGAACTACAATTAAGATTCACTAATTCATCTCCCAAATGAGTTTCTACATCATATTTGCATGGAGGAAAGTCAGAGACAGAGGTATTCCATTTTGAGAGAACAGTCTCTCCCAATCTGCCAGAATGAATATCAGGGATATCCTTATCCCAGTGTCGGGTATGAGCCAAATGGAGTCCCTTCTCCAGATCATCTGAATCCCAAAATGTAGGATCTTTACGATTACTATCCATATCAACTTTGGAAGGCGTTGAATCCTGGAAATTGAATACAAATTTTCAGCACCAAATTAGAGGATAAATAAATTCACCCACGCAGAAGTCAAGACACCATACATCATTCTCATTGCCCTTGGGGAACAGGCGGCTTAATAGCGAGGAAACCAAATTGAACCTGGAGAAAGCCCAACTGAGTCAAAGAAAATAACTGCTGGAATAATAAAGTACTTAAGCTTCATGTGTCTGACCCCTTAGCATGGAGTTTCTCAATATCACAAAATGAGGCATCAGCGACACACTGGAGTAACTTCTGTCTCTTTGCATAAAAGATTCCTTTCTCAGTGCATTGGCTCCCTGAAGTTCGTAAGAAGACTATTATGTCATAATTTAAGGATGCTTGACATGATTAAACTGCTAATGAATATGCTGAATGCTTTTCACCAGTTTAAAGATACAAGTTCCTTTTCACCAGTTTAAAGATACAAGTTCCAGCGACTGCCTTATAGGACATGGGGAGGAATACATCATGCATGCAACGATGAATCTACATATGTTCCAACTAACCCTATTAGTACAATAGAAAAACTAAAAACTAAAAACTGACAAGTGGAAGAATTAATCTTATAAATAAGTGCACCGTGCTAATTACGAAGATACTATAGGCATGGGGACACATATTCTTTCACCCGTTTACAGAGACAACTCATATTTGAAAAGAAAAGAATTGTCACGAAGATCCCTTGTCTTGGTGCTAATACATTATCAAATAAAATTGTACTGGTTATAAACATAAAAATCATGGGAATTTAAGAAGCATTACAATTTAAAGATTGATGATTTTTTTTTAATATCATTTGCAAATCTAGAAGAAATGGAGCTTATAAATGACAGAGAATTTTTATTGAGGCTACAGAACATATCCAACACACATATTTATTCATAATGGAGAAATATATCTCATTTGCATCAGATAGAGATGAACAGAGCAGTTCAGTCATGGAAAAGGAAGCTGAAAAATCAAGCCATAATGAATTTGATATGATAATTGGTAGAGGCATGTAAATATATAGAGCAACAATATAAGATGGCAGATGAGATGAGAAAGACCAGTTTTACAATCAAGCATATCGCAATATTACCAAGGATTTATTTTTACTGTCATAAACATGATTCAGGATTCTAATAAATGGCACAAGAAACCAGTTGAGTTCCCTAGTAGACTCATGGTATTTGACTGCCATATATTGAGTAACTTTTTACCATAAAGATTAAAATAGCAGCTAATCAAAGGGAAAAGGTGAAAGGATAATGTAATCCGTGTAGGTACAACTGATGACAACAAACAGTTTGCAGCAAATCATTACATTTAAGCATCATTCAACTCCTGCAATACATTGAATTATCCAAAACGAAGACAAAGCTTCTGTGATCGCTACTTGAGAGAATTTGAGATAACAAATTACAGTGCCAACCTGAGTTCACTGACGTCCCTTCAATGGGTGAAAAGCATAAATTTTGATCAATGGGTTTAACATTGTTGGGTATATCTGCATCACAGCACGCAGTCACACTCTACTGTTAAGTAATAACAAGCATGGTACAAAACAAAAGTGACACCAAGATGCCTATATTACAGATAGCAGACCTTTGCCTCTCAACTGGTTAAGTTCATTGCATTCTCCAACACTAGGTGAGAGGAATGTGTGATGATCAGTGGGCCTTGGCAGTCCTTCAGGGAACGTTAATCTGAAGGCCTCGTTTCTGGCGTTCATTGTGGCAGAAGCATTTGAAGTCTCTACAAATTGTATTGACAACAAGATAAAAAATGTCATGATCCCCCCATCAAACTAAAATGCATTAAGACTTAATTTAGAACCTATGTAGGATTACCTCCACTACGGTCATTACATTTAGAACTTTCCATCCGTTCGTCCTCCCTGTGTGTAGCATAGGAATTAACACAACCAGCACTATTCTTCACTTTCTTAAAATATGCATACTCTGAAGTTTTAGGGGCATCAGCTACAAAACAGGAATTTTTAAGAAAAATAATACTATTCACTAATAACACCAAGCATTAATTAATGCACTCTATCACCTTAAAAAATTAAGGTTTCATGAGCAATAGTGCATGATACTTAATAGAGAAATATCAAAATAAACTAGCAAAGATAGCAAATATCACTACATTTTGTCGACTGAGTTACTTCATATTTTCTTGAAGAAACGCCTTGTGCATCGTTAGGAAGTTTATCCATCTCAGGATCCGCAAACCTCACTCTTTTTATCTTGCTCGTATCTAACAAACAAATAAAGATCTTCAAAACAAAACTTCAGGACAAATTAGAAAAACCAATGTAATGCAGAACAGTTCAAATTCATATTCTAGCTAATATAATCACTTCGTTACTGCATAACTATAAATAATTAACTAGAGTAACCTTCAAATTACATTTAGCTCACTTAGCACAAATAAAATATATGCACAAATCAGATAAAAAATATTGAGATAAAATTCGGGGGAGAAATGCAAGGTTGGTACAAGAGAGATCATGGTACCCAATGGGTTGTCGGAGCCCTGATTTCGGGCCGGTCGGATCTTATGTGGATCTTCGGAACTGGTACGACGGGATTTCAATCTTCTTCTCATTGTGACTCAGATCAAATTGAAATGCGAATCAAAAGAACCCTAATTTTCGGGATGGTTGATTTGAGTGAGCGCAGGGAAATCTTAAGGCGCCAACTCGCGTCATGATTATTTATTACTAATAAATAACATTCAAAATTGGAATTACTTATGGGAACTACTTCCCTTTTTTTAGCACATAATTTGTCCTTGTGTGACTTGTTTGGTATTACTTATAAGTTGTTTTCATGGGAAAAATAAATTGATAATAAATTGTGATTTGTTACAATGATCAAATAAAAAATATGCCATCGACTTAAAAATAATAATTTCAATTTTGCCAAATATATTGTAAATAAATCTAGCTATTGATCGTCTACGATGTTTGGATATTTGGCTTGTGTTGGTTCAAAATCAACAACTACTAAATTGTGTGGTGTTTCAAAGTCTGAGTAACCTAAAAGTTTGATTAACTTACTTGTTACCTTTTTTATCGTACATTTAAATCTGTTTTAGTTGTTAGTGTACATCGTTAAAGTATTTATCCAAAGCACATTGCTAATGAATATATTTACTTTTTCTCGTACTTTTTAAGTATCAAAAATTGCTTTTCGAGAGTAATTCTTTACGTTTTGAATAAATGCCTTGATTTAGATTCTCATCTTAAAATTGTAATTTCTTTAATTTATAATATATTAAATATCACATCAAGTGATGATCCCTTCTTTAACGATTATAATCATGCTATAATTCAATTATTTGAATAATATCTTACTTTTCATTTTTCCTACAAACTGCAAATACTACAAATCATTGTTCATACATGTATTCCATGTTATTGATTCTTAATTAATTAATATTCACATTCATTTAATTGATGATAATTAGAATTTTACATTTATATTCACATCTATGTCGCTGTTATTAATTCTTAATTAATTAATAATTACATACATACATACATACATACATACATTTAATTAATATTAATGAGAATTTCCATTATTCACGTACATGTATGTTAATTAACATTTAGTTCCACTTATTTGAAAATTATATTATACATTTAATATAAAATGATTTAACATTCATTATTACGTAATATTAATTAGTATTAATTCTAAATTAATTAATATCCACCTTAATTCATGTATCGTATTTGTCATTCATACTTATTTATTTATGCATTTAGTTGTAGTCTAATACTCGCATTCAAATATGCATTCCACCATTTACGTTTTTATGTCATATTTTATCAAAAGGATAAATTGGGGGTAAAATATTTTAATTCAACTCTATCTAGTAATTTCCAAATATTATATATTTGTATAATTATTAAATAGTTATCTCAAGTTAATATTAATATATGAAAAATAAATTCTATGAACTATAAAAATTTAAAGATAATTTTATTTTAAAATTAAGACTTTAACTAACTGATTAAATTGGACTATAATAATTTAATTGACAAACTCTATAAGATGTAAGTCAAATAAAAATACAAAAATAATTTAAAACTAGTAATGTAGAGGCCCAACCAGAAAAAGTGAGCATCTCCAAAAATCAGTTTATGCCACTAATTGCAGCGAACGCACGGTATTCTTTAGTAAAAGGCGAAAGAATAGTTCGCTCTGCGTTCACTGCGTGGCTGCATTACTCCAGAATTTCTCAACGGGCTTTTTTATCTTAGTCCAGCTCTCTTATAACGTAAGTCATGTTTCGATGTGGGATTTATTTAGTTCATTTCCTCAGCCCTCTCCCTTTTTTTAATGGTGTTGCTTCTCTAAAAGCCTCAATCCTGATTGGCTGATCCCAACACAGTATCATGTCAATGAAATTTTATTGAAGAGGATGCCTAAAAATCATCATAAGCTGCATTCTTAACCTAGTTAAATGTTCTCATCCTTTTAACGAAAACCATGATCTTCGTCCGCTCGAATATCGAAAATTCAAGTTTTATGCCATAATTGTACTTGGAGACTATAACGAGCACGGATGGGAATACTATAGTGTCTTAATATGATTTTGACCCCTCGGTCTCTTTGCTTCCATTTCTTCTATCCATATACACTTCATTGAGATTAGACATTCAGTTTGTTGGGGGGGGGAAGCTATATTGAGTGTTGAGGGGAGATCATAACTGATCATGGAGAACATTGAACAACTAAGTTGTTCTTGATTTATACATTATGCTGTATTTCAGTTTTTGGGGTTGAGTTCATTACTATGAAATCAAGAAACCCACAATGCAAAATTGATCAAGATTAGGTAAACAAGTGCTGTGTATCCGGTCCCTTTCATAAAACTCTTCCATCCATGCCGTCGAGAAGACCAAGCCATATTCCCTTTACGGGTGGTAGTTGTACAACAAAAGCATTCCAAGGCGGGTAACCAACGCCACTGCCCCGAACGCGACCATCCAAACGGAGTGACAAGTACCTTCATGTGTAAACAAAGACGTAAGCTTTCTTTATTACATTTCTTCGAAATGCTTGGACATTGACCTAAATCCATATGTTTTGAGATCAGCGTAAATCGAACTTTCATAATCCTAATGTTTAGGAAAAGAGCAATCTAGAATTTCAGATTACTTACACTGGAGATTCAGGAGAAACCTTGGCAAGTTGCTTTTGTTCCTCTAACCACCTGTTATCGATGACACAAAATTATGAATACAATACTTAACTATTGAATATGGTAGAGAAGGGAGGTTGGGAAAGGAAAGAGTTAATGAAACATTTTTCCCCGTCCCTTACTTGGACCACTCGGTGGCAAAAACAGGCGATAACTGCCATAGCCTTCTCTGTTTGGAAGTCCGTTCCTTTGTCTCTTCACTCTCTTCAAACTCAAAGACAGGTGAGTTTCCATCCGTAGCAAACGGGACAACAAGCACCCCTCTTTCCACAAGGCCCTCGACGAAAGGTTCACTGAGTTTGAAAGACTCAGTAATGAAAGATGCAGGACCAGCAAGAATAACAAGACGCGCAATTCCTCTAAAAGCACTGACAGGAAGAATTTTCTTCTCATCTATACGAAGCTTAAGGTTTGAGAGACTTTCCTCTCTTGAAAGTTTGGCCAACTGAGCATTTTTAGCACCGTTTTCTCGGTAATAAAGAAATCCAAAAATCGATACTGCTCCAATATCTATGCCAAGACCCTTGATGATGTCAGGTACTTCAGCTGCTCGTGTTGAATTGGCCAGTGCCCCAATTAATTGTGTGACCGCTATCAGCCCTCCAAGAGAAGCACTTGCAATGAAAGCAAGATAAAAGAACATCCGGACAGTACGAAAGGGAGAAAGAACTTCACTTCGTATTTTGGCTGTAGAACTGAATAAAAAATAAAATGATGATTACAAGGTTGCTTCACTTGTAAAACAGATCCTGATTGCAGAAGCGTTTGGATAAAAAGAGTTAGATGAGACACTGAAAAGTGGTTAATTACACTGTCATAAACATGTTAGCAGTACTTTTTGGCACTTCTCAGAATTATCTGAATATAGGGAAGAGGTAAAATACCTAATACATCATCAGATAAACCTCAACTATAATCTAAAGAATTTTAGGAAAAACCCCGATGCTAATAATGATACAAATTTATATGCTATCAAAGTTTTGGGAGATAATCATTCTCAAAAGCAGCGATAACCTGGATGGTAATCAACTGCCGGATCCTACATTCTTGCTAATTTATCCCTGATAATAGACATTGACACGACAAATGGTACACGGACTTGTTGCAAAGTTGTTCTACTTAAACGATGATGAAATTGCTCATCACAGAATGTTCACCTGTATATTTGAAGTTATTATAAGCTATGTAGCATCCATAGGCTTAGTATGACATTAGATTTCAGAGAGTCAGTGTTTGAATATGTTCAAGTAACCTAAATTCTTAAAACATTAAGATGCATTACCAGACTCCTCTGCCAGCATGTCTAGTTCTAGATAATGATGCACCTACTTCATTCATTCCATTCACATTTTCAGGTTCAAAGCTAAAGTGTTATTCATCAAAACGAGATAAAATATTTCTACGGTAAAGGTAGTGAGTGCAAGACACAAAAAATGTGGTTCTTAGTCCCATAGGTCTAAAACACGATCACGTCAAGAAGAACATACCACCTATTTACTCACCTGCCTTATTCGGTATGTAGGCATAGAGAAAGTCTTCCAGCTGTGAGGTTTTAAAGAATAGTAAGGCTTTAGGGATTTGTCATTGGATAATCCCAGCCCACATAAGCTAAAACTGTGAATCTACCTTATAACTAGTCATGTCCCTACATGTTTTTTACCGCGTCAAAAGACTAAAAACCCCAAGACAAAGAAATTAAACCTATACATATTCAGTTCGAAGAGAACAAATACATAACATTTCTTTTTATTTTCTTTTGATTGGAACGGGTGAATGACATGGTATGCATTTTCTTCATCTGAGAGAAAACGGTAGAGATTAAGTGAACATCAAACAGATTCTTCAAGAACACGCTCGACATAAAAAAAGCCTCCTAATATGACCTTTGATAATATTAGAAATCATGAAACTGAGCAAGCAAAAACTTTTGTCGTGGGGTCCAAATATGAATTCAGTTGGAATAAGTCTGCTAATTTCAATTGATTTGCATTAAAGCCTATTTGATTATCCACTAAATTGATAAGAGCAACAAACACACATAGACATGCACAGACAATAAGAAATTTTACCACGATCAAGTCAAATGTGACTCTAAATCCAAATTACACAAAGTAATAAATATTTACCTAACATCAGGCGAGGGTCTATTAGAGGCAGAACAAGTAACTGAGAAGGTTTCCCGACTCTTACGTCGTTGTATCGAACTGATAACTGGGGAGACAGAGTTGAATTTACGGCTATTGATTAGGCTGGAAACTCCAGGACATTTCACCGTGGGATGGCAATTGGGGAACGCAATTGCTATAGTAGACAGCCGGACCACCGCGGCCATGGCTTTTCACCGCCGAGCAGCAACCTTGAGGCTGTTATCTTGGGTTCACAAGTTGAGGTCTTTTGAACGATGGGTTTACATAGAGCCACGGTGTATTCAGATACACCAAGGTTCATAATAATATTACTATCTTTTAAGGGAAAACTTGATTTGTAGCCTAGCCAATTTTTTGGTGAACAAATGGTCGATGCCAAATCAATAGCATCGCAGGTGACACGTCTATTAATCAACCGATAATAC